AAAGAGCACGGGATCCGCCTGCTGGAGGCCCAGATCGCCACGGGGGGCATCATCGACCCCGTGCACAGTCACCGCCTCCCCGTGGAAGTAGCGTACCAGCGGGGCTACTTCGATGAGGAAATGAACCAGATCCTCTCTGATCCCACAGACGACACCAAGGGCTTCTTCGACCCAAACACGCACGAAAACCTCACTTACATGCAGCTGCTGCAGCGGTGCCTGCCCGATCAGGAGACCGGCTTGCTGATGCTCCACGTAATGGACAAGGGCTCCTTCTCCTTTCACCTCAACGAGAACGCGAGGAAGGCCTTGCAGGCGGCCAAGACCAAGATTGGCGTGGGGCTGTTCCAGGGCCAAGAGGTTTCTGTGTGGGACCTCCTCTTCTCCAGATACGTCCTTCCGTCAAAGAGGCAGGACTTGCTAAGGCAGTACAAAGCAGGCACCCTGACGCTTGAGCGCATCACCCAAGTCCTCATCGCCGTCGTCACTGAAGCAGAGGAGAAGAGCGCCAGGCCCGTCGGTCAAAAAGAAGCTGCCAGCGAACCGACGGCGACGACACCCAAGCATGCCACAGATCCGCCAAGCTTCGGAGAGCCCTGGCTGAAGACCCTGAAGTCCACCACTATCGATATGCCTGCAGGCGAGAGCCAAGGGCAGAGGGTCACTGTGTGGGACTTGATCTTCTCAAGCTACATCTCTGAGGAAAAGAGGACCGAGCTACTGGACTTGTACAAAAGTGGGCTGCTCTCCACGGAGCGGCTCACGAGCATCCTCACCACCCTTGTTGTCAAAAAAGAAGCCAGCGGCAGGAAGCTCGAGGTTAAGGTGAGGAGTGCAGACCAAGAGACTGCGCCAGGTCACGAGGCTCCGAGGGATTCCTCCTCAGAGCCGGCAAACTGGGAAAGCCCCTTGCGCTCTCAGCGCCTCCAAGCACCTGCCGTTGGCCAACAGTTCTCGGCCTGGGAGGTCCTCTTCTCTGAGCGCTTCGCAGCGCACGAACGGGAAGAGCTTCTGAGCAGATACGGGGACGGCAGCCTCCCCCTTGAAGAGCTCACAAGGATTCTCACCGAGCGCCTTCCCAGGACCTCAAGCAGCGAAAGTCCTCTTCCCACGGACTTCCGCACACCCAGCTCAAGCGGTGAGGCAAAAGAGGCCGAAGAGGAAGGGGAAGACGATGCTGCAGACCTGGGAGAAAAAGAGGCGGCCCTGAAGTCCCGGATGGTGGAGGTCACGGCTGCGGAGTTTCACGGACGTAAAGTGTCCGTGTGGGAGGTGCTTCATTCCAAGTACCTCCCTGAGGAGAAGAGGAAGGAGCTTCTGCAACTGTACAAATCGGGCATCCTCACCATTGACCAGATGGAGACCGTGGTCACCGCCGTCGTCAACAAAACGGAGGAAATGAAAACGAGGGAAACGTCCCAAGCCCGCTTGTCTCCTGGCCCCTGGGAGGATCCCTTGCGCAATCAGACTGTGGCCCTGCAAGTTGGCGAGTTCCAAGGACAGACGGTCTCCCTGTGGGACCTCCTCTTCTCGCAATATGTTCCAGAAAGCCAAAGAGAGGAGCTGCTGATGAAATACCGATCGGGAACCTTGACCGTTCAGGAAATGATCGCCACCCTGGCCTCGCTTCTCACCACGGACGGGGCTTCCTCGCAAAGGGAGGACGCAACTCTTTCCTCGCAGCACAACGAACTCGAAAGCACCTTGCGGCAGGTGACCATAGACGTGTCTGTGGGCGAGTTCCAAGGCTCCAGGCGCTCTGCGTGGGAGCTGCTCTTCTCCAAATACGTGACCGCAGCCAAGCGCCAAGAGCTGCTGCAGAAATACCAAGAAGGGTCTGTGGCCCCAGGCGAGCTGGTCCGAATACTCACCGCCCTGATTGAAGAGATGGAAGAGAAGGGCAACCAGCTGAAGTTCTCGGGGCTCAGGAGGCAGGTGTCGGCCTCGGAACTGTTTGACTCCCACATCATCAACCAAGACACCCTCTCCGAGCTCGCGCAGGGCACCAAGACCGTGGAGGAGGTCACAGAAATGGATTCGGTGAGGCGATACCTGGAAGGCACCAGCTGCATCGCCGGAGTGCTGGTGCCGTCCAGGACAGACCCTTCCAAGTCAGAGAAGATGACCATCTACCAGGCCATGTGGAAGGGCATTCTGAGGCCGGGCACGGCCCTGGTGTTGCTGGAGGCCCAGGCCGCCACGGGCTTCGTCACCGACCCCCTGGAGAACAAGAAACTCTCCGTCGATGACGCCGTCTCGGCTGAACTGGTGGGGGCCGAGCTGCGGGAGAAGCTTCTCTCTGCAGAGAGAGCCGTGACTGGCTATAAGGACCCCTATACGGGGAGCCAACTGTCCCTCTTCCAGGCCATGAAGAAAGGCCTCATAGTCAAAGAGCACGGGATCCGCCTGCTGGAGGCCCAGATCGCCACGGGGGGCATCATCGACCCCG